GGGGTGAAGCAGGGGGGAGCCATCGCTTCACACCCACCATGGGCACCTGCAAGGCAGCACTTCCATGGCTCCCTTCCCGCTGGAGCAGAGTTTGAATGGCCGCGGTGCTCCTGACATTTTTGGGGCTGAGCTGTGACTCACTCCCTTCCCATCCCATCCCATCATCATCTGGCTGGTGGCCCAAGTGTGTCCTCACCCTCACCGTGACCATCTCCCAAGTGCTGGCGATTTGCAGCTCAGGGAATTGCGACATCGGACATTTGGAGTTGTGGTTTAGAGGCATTTTTTTCCCCCACCACTTTCACTCACTATCTGAACCCCCAATGGACAGTCAGCCTCTCCGGAGCCCCACAGCACCCTCACCCCTTGCTGCTCCACATCCCAGGCTCCCCACACCACCGTGGGGCCGTGGGACCTTTGGTGGTGTTGATCCACGGCTGGGACTTGGGCTGCAGAGCTCAGGTGGGAGATGCAGGGACCACAAAGGTGCTTTGAAGAGCACGAAAGTAGGTTAAAACATCACAAGGACATGGCCAACACAAAGAGGATCCTTGTTTTCTGGCTGGGCTGCTCACCAGTGCTCTATGCTGGGCTCTTCCCAAGATGCCTTCATTCACCATGGAAGAGGAAGAAGCTCAAGTGTCCTAGATACATCAGCAGTGTCTCAGGAGCATCGGAGGCAGCGCGTTGTGCTAGAAATGGGTCAGGAGCTGAGGCACGTGTGATGGGATGGATAACGCATCCCTCCTTGTGCTGCTGAGGGCCAGGCTCTAACCCAGACGCTTGGGAGCCCATCGCAGCGTGAAGCAACGTGGCATGGGTTACACCATCCATCCCCCTCCCCATTCTCGCCTCCCCAGTGGACACAACATGTGGGGTTCGTGTCACCACTCGTGCCTCAGTTTCCCACAGGATGAGCGTAGGGAGTAACAACAGTGGTCTGTGGTGGCTTTTCAATCCCCTCAGATAAGAGCTCCCAGAGAGGATGGTAGAGGGTGAAGGTGTGGATGGATGGATGGATGGATGGATGGATGGATGGATGGATGGATGGATGGATAGGTGGGTGGATGGGTGGGTGGATGGATGTCTGGACAGATGGATGGATAGATGGGTGGAGGGGTGGAGGGATGGATGGACGGTTGGACAGATGGAAGAGCAGGCTCTGGCACTGCCAGCCTCTCCTTCTCACTCCTGCCTCAGCCCCAGGCACCCCAAGTTTCAACATGTTCCTAAATATGTGACAAGTAGAAGCTGGGCTGAGGGCCAAGTCCACAGCTGGCATTGACCATCACAGCTCTGGAGACACATCTCCCACTGGCATAAACAAGGGCAGCTCCCAAGGGCAGCTGGAGCAACCCCTGGATCACCATTGTGGTTGGTGAGGGTTTGCTGATTTACATCACTAATCTCCAACTGGTGGCTGAGGGAGGAGCCCTGATCAGGGGTATTACCTATTTAAGGAGGAGAAGGCAATGCAGTACTTTTGGCTCTCCTGGCTTCTCTAGCTTCTAGCCCCAAGCCAGCTCCTCCAAAACCAGGTGAGTGCATCGAGCCATCATCCTGGTTGACCTTCTTCCATCTAGACAAGGCTTCCCTCAGCTTTGCCTCATCACTTCTCCAAATATTTACCAGTCCTGACCGCCCCGTCCTTGCTCTTGACAGTTTCCAGGATGCAAACCTCTTCAGATATCAGCAGGCCAATGTTTTTATTAGAATTATAATCCATGCAACCATTCCCAGGCCGTGTCCTCCCCTGCCTTGGGACTTCCAGCCACCCTGAACGATCTCGCAGGGCGTAATCGAATACAGAGGAACCGGCCCTTTGGCTCTAATTAGTTTTGCATGATTGTCGGGGGAAGAAATCCATTTTCATAAACAGAAAGGATTTATGCTGCTCCTTCTTGCCTTTATTTTTTTTCCCCCCTCCCCTCCTGAGTCCCACAGCCCTTCGCTCGGGGCTAATGGGGAGCGTTTTATGAATGGTTTAGATTGAGCAATGCATTATTAATAACAGCCAATCGAGCAAGCAGCGTATTATATATCATTTCAGGAGATCCGCTTAATTCAGTAAAGTTATTTATTGCCCTAAAAAAAAAAAAACAACAGAGAAATTTTGGTTCTTCCTTGCACCTCTGACTCGGAAGAGGATTTTCATGGGTGGAAGGGAGGTCCAAGGGGGGCTGTACCAGCCTATGGAAGCTGGTGGGACCTTTGGGGAGCCCTTGCCCCACTGGGGTACCCCACCTACAGCCCCTTCCTCCAGGGCTGAGGCTCTTTGGATGCTTCTCCGCTCACCTCGCGGTGCCAAACCCTTTTGTAGCCGGATGAACGAGGTTTATGGCAGCTTGGGGCAAAAAGAAAGAAAAAAAAAGGGGCTAATCCGGCTCCCGCAGCCTGTTGACTTTGCTATTGTTTTATAAGACTTTGATGAGGCCGGTGATGGTGGCCAGATGGGGTCTGCTCTTCTCTGCCCGTGGCCCTCATTGAGGCAGGGAGAGTCCCCAGGGTGGGGTGGCATTGGCTGGATTTAGTGACAAGCCCTGGGTGCCACCTTGTAGCGGTGGGGGCTCCTTCGAGGTGGCTCCCAAAGGACTCCCAGCTCCTCGCTGGCCAAAATCCCACTCCAATACCTCATCAGTGTGTCTGGGGTTGGGGTCCCCAGAAGATGGGGGTCACTTTTCTTCCCCATCATTTCCCAAGCTTGGCAGCTTCCCACCGCACCCTACGAGAGAGGAGACTTTCACCCCAGCCCTCTGCTGCCCATCTTCACCCACTTCGAGCCACCCCGAGGACCTCTTCACCCTTCCATCTCCCTCTGGGCCCAACACAGCAGACCGGACACCTCGGTGATGGTCGCCGGTACTTCCGAGGCACAGGAGGGACCACCCGTGGGCTCTGGGGCTGCGTGTGCGCGGGAGACGAGGGGGGGGCGCGGGCACGGGCACGAGCAGGTGTGCACGGGCACGAGCCAGCCCTTGCACGCCCGCTTGTGCAAAGAGGACACCTGGTGGCGTGTTCCCCGCACTGCCACGTCGCCTCCAGCCCCAGTTGGGGACATCGTTGGTGATCCTCTTATCTGTCATCGGGGGCTGTATCCATTTTTTTTTGGGGGAGGGGTGTGTGTTAGGAGGGGGGCGAAGTACCTGCTGCTGCCCCGAGTATCTCTGCTCTCACCTGGCTGGGAAGAGGAGGGGTAAAGCCACCCCAAGACATGATGCTGAGCTGCACCACATAATTTAATTGATGAAAACATACATTCGGTTGGGTGGCTTCTTCCCCGGGGTTCTGGACCTTTTAAGCCCCATGATGGGAGGGGAGAAGGTCCATGAGTCCTGTTCGATGCTACCACGGGCATCCCTGGAGAGCGTCCCCGTCGCAGTCGGCCTGAGACCTGACCAGCTCAGCTCACGCAACGGTTGACTCTCACTCCTCTTTCACCTCCCAGAGGATGAGGTTGCGCCTGGCCAAGATCTTGGCCGTCTTCCTGGTGAGCAGTTTCTCCCGGAGCAGGGGCCACAGGATGGTGTAGCTCTGCAGGTTGCAGTGGGTGAGTGTCATCCCCGCGTCGGCATGGGCAGGGAGCTCCAGGGCTCCCCAAAGCTCCTGCAAGGCCTTGGCTGTGGCCAATGTGTTGCCCTCGTTGAGCTGTTGCTGCAGGTGCCTCTTCAGCAGGTTCTTCAGCCTGTAGGAAGGGGCCTTGGGCAGTTTTTCTTTGATCAAGGACAACATATCCACGTAACCACCCACGACACGGCAGAAGTCCACTTTTGTGCCCGTAGCATCCAGGGCTTTAAAGAGAGCAGGCAGCTCTGGTGCCCAGAAGTTATAGACGACAAGGATGGGCCTGGTGAGTGGTGAGAGGTACCAGAGGAGGTGCTGCATCCCCACATCCATGGGGACGCCCTGGGAGAACAGCTCCAGCAGCGACTCGGGCGTCTGAACTAGCATCTTGAAGGTGTGCTCTCCATTTGCTGCTGCCACCTCCATCACGTGCTGGGCTGCAGGAAAGAAAGGAGAGGGCTGGGGTAAGTATTTGGGGTGCCCCTCTCCACACCCCGCCCCACCCAGTCCCCCATGCCAAGGGAAGGCAATGCTCACTTTGCTGGTCGACCTTCATGCTGAGGAACACCAAGGTGCTCAGCTCAGACCCGTCATCCCAGGGGCTGGTGGGGCCGGTGCTGAGGTGAGGTGAGGTGCCACTCTCGGACCATATGGGGCTGGAAGGCTTCTTGCTGTCCCTGGGCTTGCTGGAGGCCTGCAAGAGATTGGAGAAGGTGGCTGAGCCCTGTCTGCCTGCTTGGACCTGGCTGAGATGGCATGAGGAGCACCCTTGGGTGGGCCATTGGCCATGGTTGCGTGCCATGAAACCCACAGGGTCTGATGTCCCGGCACTGCCAGGGTGTGTGTTGTGTCTCAGGAGTGGGCTGGCTGTGGGGAACCCCGTTGAGAACCCACGATCAGGGTCTGGGTCAAGTGAGCAAGAGCAGAGCCCTGAATGCAGCTCATGCTAAGGAGGGGGTGGGATCCAGGCAGTGGATCCACACAGGTCTGGGGACTCACTGTCCTTTTTTGCACACCTTCTGTGGATCCAGGTCACTCGGGGACCTAAATGTGGCCGAGCAACCTCACCGCAGGAGATACCGCTGGACTTCAAGATCTATTTGACCCTGAATCAGGCTGGGAGGAGGTTTGGTGCCTCTCCAGGCTCAGCAGACCCTGAGCCTACAGCAATGCTTGCCAAGGGTGAGCAAAAGCAGCCACACCAACCATCTCCTGCCCAGCCTTAGCAGGGATGGACATCCCCAGGGAATACGGGAAGAGTAGACCAGCAACGCATTCAAGATGCTCCAACCTTGGTTCTCCTCCCTCTTTCCCCCAGGGACAATCTTGCAGCCCCAACTGGTGTCCACCAGCTCTCTGCACCTTCACCTCCAGCCCAGGAGCGGTGGAGTCGTGGTTGGACCTGTGTCTGCAGGGGTGGGAGCAAAGCCAAGTGCTCCCCAGCTCAGCGGGACGTGGGATCACTTGAAGACCGGGTTAAAATTCGGTGTTTGAGGGGTTCCTCTGCCTGGGAAGGGACAGGAGAAGGACAGTGCTGGTGGTGGCAGTGCCCTGTGTCCCCCCTCGCCTGGCTGTGCCCAAGGTGACCCAGTTGGCTTGAAGGGAGTTAGATGAACCAAGCAACCGTGAGTGCAGATGCCCTTGGTACCCAAACCAGCAATGAGTGACTCCAATTCCTACACAAAAAGCTTTTATTGGAGGGGTTAAGCAGAGGGGAGGAGGAAAAAGTGGTGGATTTTTTGGGGGGGAGGAAAATCACACCCCGTAGAGACGACCACACAGAGATGGATGGAGCTGGGTGCTGGCAATGCTCGTGTGGCTTCACCTCAGCGTCCAGAGCACACCAGTCCCCAGATGACCCCACAAAGCTGCTTCCCCAGCCCCAAAAACCTCCTTTTCCATGGCTGAGCCTCCAGGCAGGTGCTCAGCCCTCGCCCTCCATCCCCAGGAAGCTGCAGCCTCCCAGGGCTGAGTCCCACCGCCTCATCCCACCCCTCAAACTTTTTTCTCACTCAGCTCCTATTTCCCCCCCCCTTTTTCCAGGCTTTAAACCCATTTTTCTCCCCGGCCCTTGAGGTTCCACCATCCTAATGCCCACCACCAGCTTTAACCCCCTTGCTATGCCCTAAAATCCCCGTTGTTCCCGAATGCCACCTGATTCACACAGGGATTTCTCCCTCAAAACCCCAGCCTTGAGATTTTTTTGGGAGCGGGGACAGGGTTTTAGCCTCGCAACTCTTTTATTTTAATTATTTTTCCCCCCTTTTAGAGAGGAATGAGGAGAGAAAGGAAAAAAAGCAAAGGAAAGAATGAGTGAGGAAGGCAGCAGCAGGCTGGGATTTAATCTGAAAAGCTTTATTGAAGAGTAAGAAGAGCCTCTGCGTTAGTTTTTACAAAATAAAAAATAACAACGGGGCTGTTATTTCCTCATTAAGGTGGAAAACCAACCCCCCCCCAGCCTGATTCCTAAATCAGCCACTCTCACCCCCGTTCCCAAAGGGATCCCGTGTTGGGGATGGGGTATCTGGGCAGTGATCCCAACCCTTGGTTCATCTAACCACCTCGGCCAGAGCCCTTGGGTCACAACATGCTGATGGGCAGTGCCAGCACCACGGAATGGCACCGTGGCGAGCTCGGGAATGTCGCTTTGGAGATGCTCAGATGGCCCCTACCTGCTCCTGTGGCTCCCAGGAACTTCTCAGCCTGCATAGGCACAAGGGTGGTGGACACTCTGCGCAGGGACGCTCCGTTCAACTTGCAAATTTGATTTTTATATGGAAATTGATTGAATTTTTTTGGTTTGTTTTTCTTTTTTTTTTCCTTTTCGCAGCTGAGAACAACCTTTCCAGCGAGGCGGAAAAGGAAAAAGCCGTGAGGAGCGACTTCAAAAGGGTCGTCTTGGGGGATTGGCCGGTGTGAGATCCCACCTCGGAGCACCCAAAGTTGGGGTTTGCCGCCGGCAGGAGAGGAGCCGGGCTGCTCCGGGACACCAGGGGGTATCGGCAAAGCTCTTAGCCTAGGAGGATGAGATTTGGGATGGCTCAGGAGCAACCAAAGAGGATGAGAAAGCTGCGAGTTTCTCGCTGGTGCCATAGGAAGGGAGAAGATTCGGGTGGGAGCGTGGCTGGAGGGAAGGGAAAGGCACCCCGGGATGCTGGGGGCAACTGCCTCTTCCATCGGCGGGGTGGCTCAGCAAGGAGAGAGCTCTGGCATTCCACTCACCGCCGTGTCTTCCTCGCTGTCCTCCGAGCTGCAGATGATGATGCTGGTGACTTCTGCGGGATGAAGAGGAGGATGCAGAAGCTCGGAGACTGGTGATTGTTGGTGTTTTTTTTTCTGGATCACGCCGCTTTCCCCATGGGAGGACTCATCTTTTACAAGGACCATGACCCACCCAGCCCTTGTGTGCTCTCAGATGCACCCCAAGGTGGGGGTAACCTCTCCCCTGCTCCTTCCCCCCACCCACCCTGCACCAGCCCCTCCAGAAGACACATTTCATCCTCCTTCCCGGGATGCTGGAGTGGGGCTGGGGCAGCTTGGGGAAGAAAACATGCTTGGCTGAAAACGGTAGTGTGTTCTGCCCCAGGAAAATCCAGAGCTGCC